TATCATGACTGCTGTCTACCAATGCTACATTACACTATTAACATACATGATTACATTATCATGACTGCTGTCTACCAATGCTACATTACACTATTAACAACATACATGATTACATTATCATGACTGCTGTCTACCAATGCTACATTACACTATTAACATTATACATGATTACATTATCATGACTGCTGTCTACCAATGCTACATTACACTATTAACATTATACATGATTACATTATCATGACTGCTGTCTACCAATGCTACATTACACTATTAACATTATACATGATTACATTATCATGACTGCTGTCTACCAATGTTACATTACACTATTAACATTATACATGATTACATTATTACATGATTACATTATCATGCTGCTATTTGGGTATATATGCATTATGCAACACCAACTATTTATCACTACTAGTAATGACATAAGTTTGGTAATGCGGATATTGTAGGTGTAATAAGTACTGCATGGAGGCAAAATTGCGTCAGCTTTCACCAGTACAGAACCTAGTACAAGGCGCAGAAGCAATCTATCGACACAGCCATGAAATATCGTGTTTGTCTACTTCATCTTTGAGGTGCTGTATCATGTTCCTCATCGAAGTAAGGGTGCAATACAAAGTGAAACAATCAGGAGTCTTTCAGATAGACAGTTAACTTAATGCGGGAACTGAACTGATCTGTCCTTTAAAACCTCATCGCGTTATTGTATCTTCTATGATGATTTTAATGATTTCCTAATTTTATATTGTAGCTAATCCAGTCTGTTCACCTCCACGAAAGCACGGCAACTGACGATGACCACCGATAGTTAGTAGATTCTATAAGGTGACAATTCGTGACCCTTATCTGCCTTGTCCGTGACAACATGGTTGGATCTATCATCTATATAAAGTGTCAAGCCTTGCTCCTAACAGTACTGTTGAACACAGGTCTAATCAATTTCTAAACATTGTCACTCAGTGAGTCGTCTTGCTGTGAATGCAGGAAACTGCGAGAAAACATCTCGTCATCTGACCTGTTGTCAAAACTGTCACCTTGGTCGGCGTGAGAATCCGTTGACAAATTAAACTTGACTTACTTAAAATACAGAACCCGATATTACTCAAAACAATTAGCTAATAGATATGTTCATCACTTCATCGTCTTGCATAGTGACATCAGTTATTAGTCATCAAGTAAAAAACTTATCTGGCTATTAGTAATGGGCACGTGCACACACGGGGGTGACGCCCCCGCACACATGTACGCATCACATTCATTCACTCATTTCTACTGCCTTCATCTCACTCATCCCTACACTTCACGTGGCCAAAAACCACTCTCGCTTCTCCTCCTCCTCTCCTCCCTCTGTTTCCTCCTTGCCACACCTTACTCTATCTCTGCTCTGCCACACCCCTCACTGTCTTCTCCTTACCACACTTACTAACGCTGCCCCTCGCATGCTACCTTCCCTTCGTCTCTCACCTTGCTCAGCTTCTCTCCGTCGCTGGCCGGAATGAGGTTCCTCAGCTGCTGGAAACCGGAATTGATGCTCTGCATCCGCCGGCGCTCGTTGCTATTGGCGATCTCGCGACGAATGCGCTTCTCCCGTTCCGGCTCCTGACCAGTCTGATCACACTTGGGCATCTCTGGACTGCTCATCCTACCGAGGAAACAAACGAAACCCAATTATACACACATCTGTTTATATGTGATGTTCGTTGATCTTTTGCTTATTAATATTTATACGCCAGGCCCCTGCACTGTATGTATCGTCTCTGCACCAGACATGGAAGAGGGTCTACCATTGTCTCCACGTATTAGCTTCAGAACCCCATTGCGCATGCTTGCTTGGGATGGACACTGTCGCATCATATCGCGATCATTGGATCTGCCCACACCAATGTAACCGTTCACCCAATGGGTGACCTCAATCGGGACCCATCGCACAACCACGGTTCGTAACCAGCAGCGAGCGGTGACGGGTCGATTTCACGTGTCAATGCATTGGATGCTCTCGAAACCATCATGCTTAGATCTAGAAATGACGAAGGTAATCGGTGATTCGTGCCAAATAACATTGAAGCAGAATCATAGGATCCATGCGATCTTGATGAATGATCTGCCAGAATGAAACAGACCACTCAGTGGCGTGAACCAGGTACGCACATATATAGATTCAATAATCTAGGGCATTACCTGTTGAAGCCTACACAAGTTACTGAAGACCAGTATGATAAGAGTTTACATATTTTGAAACAATTCCCAACTGTTGAACCCCTATTAGGCGATATTTACTTTACGATATCTAGTATGGAAATATATCTGTGAGTTGCTTCTTTTGTTGTACTATATATAGATTAGTGATGTAATTTTGATAATATTAATTACTTAATGTAGTGTAGCCTGTATAATATGCTATGCAAACAGTTCTAAAACGGGTTAAGTTATGATAGCATATGAGACGAATGGAAGATTTCAAGAAGTTACCAAGCTACGAGTGTGCTAAAACGTCGCTTTTTTTATATAATTAATTACCAAGTATTGATCCTGGAATTCCCCTCACAAGTCGCGTGTGTAATCTGAATTCTCATGCCTTAGGCCTATGTCGCACAGATTTAAATACACCCCCTACATCTATAATTTCTGCCTCTTGGCCCTCTAGACTGACTTTAAAGTATTTTAAATGCAGTTATTCCACGCACACGTTTTTTTCGTGTTCTCTGTAAGCGTGCAGAGAAGCAGGATGAGTCAGAGGCTGGGCACATGGCAGACAGAGCCGTGTATTTTTCATTACTTTCTAGGAGGAGCATGCGTACGTGATTTCACACGCGCTATGTTGGCAAAGTGCCAACTGTGTGCAGCCGAGCGTGTGCCGCCGGGTTTGCATCCTGAGGCAGCCACGAGACAGCGAGATGAGAGATGCCACCGTCGGCATACAGACATGTGAGGAATGCACCCCTAGTGAGACGAGCGCATCAGGTGTTTTTTAAATGGCCATACACGGAGACGGGCCCATAAAAATAAGTGATGTTATCCTTTGACTGCGAACTGCAGGGAAGTGTTCACAACAATATAGTCGAGACGGATGAATTTTAGAAATTTTTAAAACTAGCGGATTAAGTTGGATTAAGTCGGTTTCCCACGTTGAACCTAGTCACAATAGTGACGCGTCTTTCGCTAGTCACCGGCACCTGCAGCAGAAACCATGCTTCTGTCTCCATATCTGCCAGGAAACGTATGTTTGCAGACACGGCTGTGTGATTATAGAGAGTAGGTGCCCCAAAATAATGCCAAAATAATGAACTTACAGGTCGCAGTGAAAGAATACACGAAACACGCCATATGGTCAAGGTTACTGTCTTTTTTTTCCACTACATTCTTTGTCATGCTGGGTTCTTGTGTAACTTCCAACTACGCTTCACATTAAAAAGGATTTGACAGTGGTGAGTCTTAAATTGATAGGATTCGTTATAACCAAGATTTAGTGAGTTCGAAGAATTCACAATTTGTTCTATGCGAGTAAAAAAAACGCAGTAGCCGTGCCCCCTTCTCTGCTCGTGTGCGATGGGTCAACACATGTCAAGGTACCGACATCTATTTCGTACCAGACAAAGTTCTACCTCATCACCAACTACAACTCGCAGAAACTCTAGCCTAAGCAGCAGCACTCCCACGGCCAGCTTAGCCGTGACAGCAGCCAAACTGGAACGGGAGTAGCTCCACACACACACGCACGCACACGCGCACGCACGCACGCACGCAACGCGTCACGGCATGGCCCACACACACAGGTGAGGCGCACACACCCACACAACGCGCACGCGCACGGCGCCAACGCGCCTACGTGCCGGCAAGAGTGTGGCAACCACGCCACGCACGCACGCACGCACACACACAGCCCACAGCACGTGGCAACGCCACCCCGCAACTGCGCACCAGCTACACGCGCACGCACACGCACCAGCACGCACGCCACGCACACAGCACACTACACGCACACGCACACAGCGCTACGCGCAGCTGCGCACGCACGCAGTCGCACGCACGCACGACGTACACACGCACGCCCGCCACGGCCCACACACATCCCCACACATCCCCACACACGCACAGTGGCACACAGGCAGACCCCCACATTACGTGTTGTTAAAGCACCCGTCCCGCCGGGTCGGTAACACCTTGTTTCCAGCTGACCGAGTTGCAACGGCATAAGCCCATATATTTTGGCAATGTCACGCATTATTTTACCTCTTTTTTGTGTGTGTGAAATTCTGAATCCTTACGGTTCTTGCCAGAGCAATTCTCCAGCTGCTTGACAAGTTTTTTAACATAAAAATTAATGTGCCATATTTGTACTTTTACTTAAAAAATTCAGATAGCAAAATCGGACCTTTAATTGATAAATTTTTTTAGGCTTAATACAGTATAAGGATTCCATATAATACCGACCAGACTGCGATGCAAAGGATGTAATTAATTGACAGCAATATAGACCCCCGATGCTCATCAATATGTATATATTTTACTCTTTTGACGACTCACCGTCCAAATCATGGTTTTTGACATTACCTGCCCCCTTATGGGCTTAGCATGGAATGCAGAAAAACTAGGTGTGGAATTTCTCATCAGCTAGAATGGACGACTTTCCCACGACGTTAGAACACCGGGAGTTACCAGGATATAACAACCTCCGTAGCTTGTTAATAATAGAACGCTAACAGCTTGATTTTTCTCAAAATTTACAATATCGTTGAACTAGCTGTAGGGATATTTTAAAACGTGTTCGGACCACGCCTATACTCACACACGTCCTGCGATTAATGCCCGAATATACACACGTAAGTGTACAATTGCACCAACGTATCTCTTAACTATGCATACAGTTTGTCTAGCGACCCACCATATGACCGCAAGCCAATGTCAAGGGACCCCTGCCCACGCGTTGGATGTGTCTGCGTTGATACATATCATTATAGGGAGTGTTTGCCCGCCTCAACACTGCTGTATGTATCTATGCGCCATGCCCAGACAGCCACCCAGCTTGTAATTCTGCCAGCGCAGCTATCTGGCACCGAGCCAAGATTGCCGCGCATTTGCGTCGCACACGCCTCCACTGGCGGGCCAGCCGAGCGTGCACACGTCTCAGACAACCCAACAACGCCGCCCCGCCAGTGCAGCGGCCCTCTCTCCAGCTGTCTTGGCATAAACTTTTTCCCTGCTATTAATTGTCTAAGCATTTTGTAGGAGCGAACGCCAGTTTAAACTGGGAGAAATCTCAACAACCTTCGCAATATCGCGAACCATCCAGAAGGGTTCCATTTAGGATTTTGATTTTTAGGGAAGCAGAGAAAATCAGCTGATAGTTGTAAGTGCAGTTAGAAGAGATGCCTGTCTGAAACAGACACTGGATCGGTATTTTCAGCTGCAGTCTGTACGAAAACGAAAACACAGAAAAGAGAGAATAGCCACTGCACGAAAGATCAACATTCTTACATATTGTGGTGTACTATGACTCTATGAGCGTCTACGTGGAAGGTTGCACTGTGTTTTCTGCATAAATAAGCTAGTCTTGATGCTCTATGTTGAAGCCAATAAAAAAAAATATGATTCATCAAAACTTTCCTAAATTAACGAACCAGATTCTTGTTCTGTCCGAAGGTGCCTAAAAGTCTAGCTGCTGTGAAAGCTGTGACTTCACTCATCCTCACTCATTTTAAAATCAGTAATATGTCAGTATACTACTTTGAGAGAGGGATACACTGGGGTGTCTTGTACTACAATATATATAAAGCGATACGACTTGGATGATATTGTAGACAAGAACCACATCGCACCTCTCTAGGATTGTTAGGCTTGTTGCTGCATTAGTAAGCGTTTACGATAGGCAATGCCTCAACAGAATGCGATCTCATTGCAGATGCATTCTAAATCGAGTTACACATACATGGCCAGGACAGACAGGACGTGTTTTGAAGTCGTAAACTTTCTAATACAGCCCCGGTACAAAAAGTACATCGCAGGCATAAGTCGTTCCGATAATGGCCATCTTGAGCCATAAAGTTAAAGGGTGTCTGATGCAATATTGATGATTTGAATTTAATCTAATTGATTCTGTTCTAATCTGTTTTGTTCAGATCTTATTCTGAATTAATACATTCAAAATAGTACTATTAAACATATAGTACGTGCAAGCAGCCAGTACAGTTGGTTGTCAAGTCTCGGTGAAATAGGCACAAGATATTTTCCCAACGGGTGCAACGGACATATCACTTCACACAGGAACGATGCCAAGAAAGCTGTTTAAAGGAGAGAAATTGTAGGTCAGAGTGTCAGACTCCTGGTAAATGTAGAACGAGCGCCTATTGCTATCGTGTCTCTGTTTGATTTGACTATGTGCCAGTACTAGTTAGAAGGATTCTATCACCCCTGCTCTTTTCCAAGACGTAAACAAACTGCCCTAGGCCAAAAACAATTTTACTTCCGAATGTAGCCCTACCTGTCTGGCAATTATTACATCCGTATTGCCCAATACCTTGGGCTGGGCAGAAAAATCTGTCTAGATGCATTGGCCATTGCTTCTTAGATAGCATTGCGTATGGTATGAAAAATGTAATCTCATTCGAATCCAATATAAATAGATTACCAAAACGCCCCCGAAGGAATGCTAGTAGAGTAAACAATAAGTAGTTTACATATATACTGACTGACACCGCCTGCGACCAATCCCAAACTTCGCTCACACTGCTTATAAAACAGATATCAAGTTCACGCTTCAGGCAAATATTTCATTCTAATTACGTTTACATTTGCCGAGTATTAATGTATGCCATCAATTTTTCTTTTTAATAAAATGCGTAATTAGCACAACGTCAGGGAAATATACTTCTCCTAATACATATAATTATATGCATATTCTAGAGTAAAAGACTGAAATAAGCATCACGTACAAAAGTTCTAGATCTATAGCTCTCACATAAGACATCCACAATAGTCACAATCAAGTTTAAATACGCTCGTGGTTTAACAGATCTTTCCGTATTAAACGTCTCACTGGCGTTTTTTGCGTGTAGTGCATACCAGTTATATCTAGTCTGACCCGGAACACCGGCCCACCCCGAATATTTGTGAATGAATCACGCCCACGACCCGTGCTGTACACACACTCATTCACTTGCGACCACATGTATGTGCTATATATATACAGACACTGGTATTCTAGGAAAACCATCTAGAGCTTGCAATGAATGCACGGAGCGGACAATCAGCTGCTGCTGCTGGCAATGACAAAGTCCACCCGTCACGTCACGTACAACTAGCAGAACAAACGGTTAGACTTGTGACTGTAGCTTTCCTAAGTAAATTAGCCTGTAGTTTGGATGGCCTGTCTTATAGCAGCCTGTACCTCCTGTATCCACGAGTAGCTATGACAAGGGAAAGAAAGTGATGATGCAAAAATTCATCTCACTGACTACTTGCAAATGCAATCCATATCACAGCAGAAAAAGTAATTTCCTTACTACCACTAGACTTGTTGCATATGTTGTGAAATTTGTTTAGTACTATGAATGAAATTACAGCATAGAAAATTCATAAATAAAATCTATTATCACTACGTATTGTCTGAACAGTCTCCTACGTAGGGTACCACTCATGTTTTATGAAAATAGCAAAGTCACTGTTGATTTCCCATTACCCAAGCACAACTTTTTCATTCATGTGTGTTGTATCCACCTTATGTACTAAAATTTTAACCCGTGCATACAGATTTTCACGTTTAAAACGCTATCGAATCCACATGGCAATCTGCCAAAAATAAGAGTGCACATGTCTGCTACATCGAGTTACATTTTCCTGTCGTAAGCACAGAAACCAACCTCACTTAGAATCAACCAAGAAAGGGTAGAAGACGTACCCTTTTATAGGGATCTAATAGTCTGTGAGTTATCGTGTAAGAATCGCGGGGTATGACCATTGCTCGGTGCCGACTAGGAGTGGTTGAGAATGAGACCGGCAAGCCGCGCCACAAGTTCTCTCTTCGCGGCGCACAGCTGTTTGCAATGTAAGCTGGCAGGCTGCCAAGTGCGTCGCCCACACACTCCAGACAGCGATCGATAATGGTATTGCGTAGTGTAATAGCTGGCATTTCATTTCAAAATGGGCTTTGCCTAACCTAGCTATATGGCTTCGTGATTAAGACGTGGTGCAGTGCAAATGTCAATACATAAATGCTAATAAGTAAAAGTAAATTCACGCCAAAACACTACCAATTTCTAGGAGCACGTGGTGTAGTAGTACTACTATTTAAAAGCATACTGAAGACCTAGCTATTAATATACGTTTTTACACATAATAATAGTCAACCAACACTAATTGTTACTATCCACTAATACAAACGCAATGATCCGTAAATACACACTAGTCTACCAATCATACTTAGTTATACAATTACCCAGAAAATACACACATGTTGTTGTAGTATCCTTCGCTCATATCGTTAGAATCGTCGGCTTGGCGCTTGTATTCCTCTACAACACGCTTCTTCATTGGTGTATTCTGATACCCAGACATCCTGCGTAATATATCCTAAAGTTGTGGCACAATATATCAAAATCTTCTAGCGTAAAACCAACAAGTTATCAAACACGCTGCCGTTTACGCGCCTACTCGCAGTCCTACAACTAAAGAATGAATGTACTTTGGCGGGAAACGGCTGGTAATCACCGCACATATTACTGCGCAGAACCACGCGGTATAGTGTATATTTCGTCTGAATTTATTACTAGTTAGAAACACATATGAGCAGTTAGAAAATTACAATATATGTAAATATATGTTATTATCTTTATGTTGCGAACGCTTTTTTCAGAGAACCACTAAATATATTTGGAACTATTTTGTCTAGCGTATGGACTGCATCTCATCAGAGTGGTGCGTAGGCAGCGGTAAAATGTGTGATGTAGGGAGAATTCATCAGAGAAAATATGTCTAGGTCAAATTTTTAGTGACAAGATGCAAGCGACATGTGATTTCACATAGAATGTGAGTAGAAATTCCCATTCTTGTTACAGATATTAAACGAATTTACTTTCTGGCCATTATCTTATAATTTATCATCATCGCCGTTTCTCCCTACTTGTCGTAGTACTCTGAGCGTGTATGTCACATTTTGTACACATCGCTTGTTACGCCCGTCAATCAACTGGATTCCCGCCAAGGAAATTAGGTTACTGTAAAACCTAACTTATATCGTCCGTTGTTTTAATTCATTAGTAATATAAACATACAAACTACTCTAATGGTAACATATGCGATCTTACTTCATTTAAGATTACTTTTACACCTGAAAACTCAGAAAATTATCATTAATTTCGTATTGAGGACATTGAGAGGGTGCGTACACCATCTGTTTTACCGGCATAAAATTATTTTCTAACGATTCTGTAATACGCGAAATATCAGCATTTAATTAGACATCATTCAACGTCCAAACACGAATATAATATTTACCTGCTAAATATATATATATATATATACTCGGTATACTATTTTAAAATTCACACCGCTTCTGCTATTGTTTCAAATCGAGCTGTCGAAACACGGCAAAAAAACGCAAAAATATGCAGTATTAAATTATAATCATATACGTGTGTGTGTGCTGGATACATGCATACATACATACATAGAACGATAGGGTGCGATAGATAGAAGCGGATGGGAGCATTAGGAACGTTACATCAACACCTGTACTTGAAATCACCATATACATTGTCTACAGTACATGTACGCTGGCGCACGATTGCCGGTGACCATGTGGACAGTAACAATCAGCTGACACCAGCATTGCTAATAAGCCGGTTTGCACCGCACAGCTGCTAGGGTCGAGCCGGCTTGGCACTGTGCCAAGCACGCGCTACAGCGACAGCTTTGCTGATTGTTAGGCGTGGCTTTGCGCGGGTCGCGTGATCTGCATCCCTCTAGCGAGCAATGCGAGAAGTACTATAATTACGAACGCGTGACGGATTCGAGAACTGGAGCGCACACGTTGTTTAATTGTTCCTTGCATGGAAAACATCTGATAAGATCAGTAAAATCCATATCAACGTCAGATTTTCTGACAATAATTATGCAGTATTTCCCTGGGTTTTATTTCGTCAAGTGTAAAATTAATCTAGGGTAGAGGAATTCATCTCATGTTT